ACACTGAGGGTTGCGATCCATTGCCGGACACAGAAAAAGACAAAAAAAAAAAAAAAGAAAAGTTCAGGTTGTTGGATTCCTACCTATAAGCCCATTGAGCAACCACCACAATTACTATGGAAAAAGACTGACTGACATCTACTAAATGGTCCATCTTGTTTACCTGTTCGTTGAGAGTCTACTCTGTAGAGGATGTTCTCTTGTAAGTATTTACATTGGTTCCATTTTGAGAGGTCCATCTAAATTCATCTTCCTCAGACTTCCTTATCATTAGTCTTTCTACCCTGTCATTTTCAAGTTCCTGATCAGCTGGTTAACTTGTTAGCCACTGCTCTCTGAATTAATGCAGATCCATATTTCAAGTCATCTCTCCTACAAACTGTGTATTGCCTCAAGTTCTGCCCACTGGGAAGAGTTCCCTTACTAATACTTTTCAGGCTCTCATGCAGCAGCTTTTCGTTTCTGGCTGATTTGACAATCAATGCTGATCTGTCCATAATTCAGACCTGAGATTTTTCCTCTTCCATTAACTGGTAAAGGGAATTCTCTTAGAAGGCTGAAGGAGCAACAGCAAAGCACTGAGAACAAGTATCATGAAAATCTGAATTGCCTGCTTACACATTTGTCCATTTTTTCTGGGCCTACTAGGGCCCAGTCTCAATATACAACATTTCTGTTAAAGAGTAGAATGCTGTCATTAGTCTTTCTACCCTGTCATTTTCAAGTTCTTGATCAGCTGGTTAACTTGTTAGCCACTGCTCTCTGAATTAATGCAGATCCATATTTCAAGTCATCTCTCCTACAAACTGTGTATTGCCTCAAGTTCTGCCCACTGGGAAGAGTTCCCTTACTAATACTTTTCAGGCTCTCATGCAGCAGCTGTTCATTTCTGGCTGATTTGACAATCAATGCTGATCTGTCCATAAATCAGACCTGAGATTTTTCCTCTTCCATTAACTGGTAAAGGGAATCCTCTTAGAAGGCTGAAGGAGCAACAGCAAAGCACTGAGAACAAGTATCATGAAAATCTGAATTGCCTGCTTACACATTTGTCCATGCTTTCTGGGCCTACTAGGGCCCAGTCTCAATATACAACATTTCTGTTAAAGAGTAGAATGCTGGGATGCACATCCATTTTTATGGTTCAGTAGATTAGATATCACCAAGTTCATAATGGGCAGATCAGAGCACAGAGCTATTTGTTATCCCAGGATCAGTAATTCAGTTTCAACCAGAGCAAGCCCAGAACTGCTTTCCAAATGAGAAATTGCATTTGACGGAGAGGGGATGGCCTATCTCCAAAATTTTATGGAT